CCAATGCAGCTTCCCGAAACTCCCTGAAGACGAAAGAAGACACAATACTCGGGCAGAATATATATTCAGCACGGAGGTGTCTGGGCTACTGACATGGCCCGAAGGCCAGCCCACTCAGCGAGGTACAAGAGGGCTAATTCAAAGTACAAAAGTGGCGCTTCACCATTACCGAGGGATAAACGACCATCCTATTACATAAGGATGAGTGTAAAAGTTGAGTACTCAGTAAGGCTAAGAACTTCACTTTCAGTTCTAAGGAAATCTTGTGTTTTTGTTTCGGGAAATTTATGTATTGAGTTTTCTCAAATGCTTAAATGCATGAGTTTGATGCGAAATCGCATGAGCGTCACTATTTACATTTATGGTGGTTCAGACCAGTTTCTGTGCAGTATGATCATTTATTTTGGATAACTTTTACCATTCTCGGCTACAATTTAAACTTCTTTTGCGCATTCGAGCCAGAACTTATGAAGTATATCCAATGCTGGTCCAGAACGATGCAGAACAAATTTAAGGTATTTGCGTTCGTCGCAAAAGCGGTAGACTTTTCTGCGTCTTATTTTAAAATAGATCATTTTCAAGTATACGGAGTGGTCACGGGTCATGAAATCACTCAACATCTGTTTTTAAGCTGAAGAATGTAGTTCTGCTCCTTCAGGAGCATTGTCCACCGTCTTTCTGTACCCCTTGAGAGTGCCTCTATTTGTTTCCCTTCCTGCGCTACTCAACAATGCTCAGTGGCAGACAAGTAACGAATACCAACATTTCGCTCGATAGACACACGCAAGAATGGAATTGGCATTCTCCCTTTTCCGTGAATTGCATTTCGAAAAGGCGAAAATTAGGCGAGGTTGGCGAATCCTGCAAAATTTCGTGGCTGGAGATGATTTCTCATAGACCCAGACAAATGAATAACGGTTAGGCCGTAAATTAAGACTATCATAAGCTTATCAAGTTCAATGAAAATAAGGTTGACTATCTCTGAGTACGGATGAAATACTGGTCCAACAGACGGGCAAAAAATGGAGGGTTATGTACCTCCTCTATCCAAATAATGACGTACTAACGATCCAAACAGACAAGTAAACACTTCATCCATGTTCATGATAAAGATTGAAGAAAATTTTTTGCGCGCCGAAAGCTACACCAGTGGGAAGATCGTGGTATTATATTGCCGCATTGGAATGCTACAGTCTGGCTCTCACAGTAGGACGACGTTGAATGCCTAGCCATACGGTTAAATTGGATTCTAACACATTAGATCCTTAGATGGCATCTAGCAGAACCCTGATCCAAAAATTTATCATACCGTTAAGCCGCCTCCACTGGATTTCATTTTGCCAATTTGAATAGTACCTTTCCAAACGCATCCTGCTCTTCGTTTGCACACACACATTTTGGCTAGCATGGTGGAATGGAGAACAGGACGAAGTAGCAATTTTATCCAATCAAATTGAAAAGGTAATAGTAGGCTGCTTTATTGTCCAAAAGAATAATCTAGTAGATGCCACTTAACCGAACATTGAAGACTTCCATTAAAATGGCTGTAACATCTGCAGTAACGTAAGTAGAAGCTCCTACAACAGACACGATTTGCAATAAAAGAGAATGAACACATGGAAATGCCACAGGAGGAGATTAACAGATTGTACACATCTTCCCAAATCTAGGTGGAATGTTGTCACTTTCTTCTGACTTACTTTGACCTTAAATTTCACGAAAATTTAACCCAACACGATAGCTAGAGGCTGGTGAAGGCGGGATCTTTCGTGTAGGACTTACGGTCACAACCCAAATCGTGATAAGTCATAAATGTGGAAGTGATGAGAAAATTATACGAAAGCAAATTTTAAATCCCCAATGTTGCAACCGACTACAATGCAACACCGTCGAAATAGGTGAACTGAAGGTCATAGCCAAGAGGCACCACCGACTGAAACTGGCATCAAATACCGATGTTGAATGCCATGCAGGAAATGGAAGTCACATGAGAAGCGTCACTTGTTCTCAATCCATTCCTTCGTTTCGCCGAAAAGAGAAGTAGGTTTCTGTTGCCGTACGCCATTTATGCAATACCAAGCCAGTAGAGGCTGGGAATATGCAGCTACTTGCATCCGACTAGAGTGGGAAATGCTTAGAATCAGCAGTTTAGTCTAGAGTAAAATTACTCTTTCAAACTAAGAAACTACTCGTATCTTCATACCTCGCTTTACGAAATGACTTATCACTGATTCCATGAAATCTGTGGCTTTATCGTCTACTTTGAAACAAAAGCAAATTTGAGCTGACCAAACGAGTGTTACGAGGAACAGCATATTTAAGTATTGTACACATTGAATACGGGTGTAAATTGTTTAGTCCATTAAAGTTCTGCCAGCACAAACAATCAACGTGCAGCCTATCCACTTACGTATAATTAAGTCTACTTATGTTGGCAGTAAGGCGCTAAACCAACTATCAAACTTACATTATATCCATTTGTGGTGTACTGGTCAGGGTACCTTTTGACTTTTGATACGAAAATGAGACAGAAACCGCTCCAGCATTTTCAAATAGAGGACGACTGAACCCAGGCGTAAGACCGGAATTTGACAGGATATCGTCCCATGTTGGACACAGCCCACGTGGCACCCGCCACCCACCGGAATGTTTTCGACGCAACTAATAGTGTGCAATAGCTCCCCAGCGCCTCATCCTGAACTCACTCCACCCTTACCCTCCGCTGCCATTGATGCCATGAACCACCTGCAGGCAGAGCAAATTCCCAGAGCTTGAGTGATCTACTAACTCATTCAATCCCGACTCTTCTTTATTACAACAATAAACTTAAATGCAGGGTAACTACCAGCCGGCTACACCCAAGTTCTTCGCCCCCTAGTTGAGGGTTACCACAGATTCAAACACTGCAGATACCCTACTCCCATGACACCTCTCGTGTAGTAATCAGCCGGTGATATCAAACGTGAACCCCCATTGAGATACAGATGAAAGCGATCATGTACTCCTAACACGTTTAATAAAAGATTAGAATCAGGACAGAGCTTATGGCACCAGTTTGAAGAGGCTCTAAACTTCACAATTCCGCACCAGTTTAGAGAGAAAACCCGGAAGCATACAGTAACCATATTACTTATGCAATTTAAGTAGCAAGACGCTATATCCACTGTAAAGGAAATTGCACCTCAAAAATACCACAAGCATGAATTTGAGAATTAAGATAATGAATGTGAGTCAGAACAAGTGACTACAAATATTATTATTTGTACATGAATTCACAATTTCTGCATAGAGATAGTGACCTCCTCGGCATTCAATCCAGAGACGCAGACGGAGAAACAGCTCTGATCTTCAAAATACGCGACCACCTAGGGAAAAAAAAATAAGTGGAAGACAAGCTGCTTGAATACTAGAGTGGTGTGAACAAAGATAAGAGTCACTTCATCGTTAACAGCAACATCGAAGTTAGGAGATTTCTTCAAAACAACCACAATGTTCTGAGGGGTGTTTGTCAACTTGAGATATGAGGTTAGACGAATACGAAGCTCCGCTTCAGTTTGTTGGTACAGGTAAATAGCTTGAAAGACTGAAATAAAATTAAGAAGGAATGGTATAAGTAATTGGATGAATAACTTCCGCAATGGGGTTCTACAGAAATCATGATAGATGATTTCCACTAGAATACACGAGATAAATGTCTAACACAAAATTCAAAAACAATTTATCCTCACTTCAATGTCGCAAACGATTCCAATGCACTCCATAACAGTAAATGCGGGTCTCTAGTTTTCCAGTCTTATGCGTAAAATGCAAAATAAGATTATTCACCTACCTAATTCAGAATCTTTCCGAACAAAAATTGTGCAAGTAGCTCGCGGAGGTCTGAAACAAAGAAAGTGGTGGTTAAAAGGAGTCGAAAGTTAGGTTAGAGAAGAAACAAATCCACTCACTTTTGTAATATTGCATTAGAGAGGCGAATCCCTTCTATGGTACCACAAAGTAGAACGAGATCACGGCGATTTAATCGAAGCATATCGGCACCTAGGTCGGGCGAAAACATAAAAGAACCATCATTTCAAGTGAAAATCTAAAAACAGTTCATACAAGACAGATGTAAGGGGAGTAATGAGAGACTCATTTGATGGTTCTACAGATAGAAAAATTCATGGCAAGAAGTCCATGTTTTTCAAAAGATATAGGAAGCAAACAAGCCAAAATACATTAGCATACACAACCTAGGTGTGACCAATATCCAACATTGGCGAAAATGCATACACAGCAAAGGAAAAAAAGTAACTATTTGGAGAGCGGATCAGAACAAATGCCTACGACCAAGAAAATTTTGTGAATTTAGTAGACACGAAGCGTATTGAGTAGGGTTATCAATCCATCAAATGCAGACTGTTCTGCACGGTACATCTCAGTTCCCCCTGTTTATTCATTGTTTCAATTAAAAAAATAGTAATTCACAGATCGAAATGTACGTCGGAACCTAGACAATAACAGGAAGGAGCTCAAAACAAAACTTAACGACTTTGCTCACCCTTAAATAAAATCTGATTATTGCGAATAAAATAGTGCTTAACTTCATTGTACTTTTAAGGTAGACTTCTCGAATAAAACAGAGCTTATGAGATGTGAATCTCACCGGTGAATTTGGCGAATTTGGACCTGAGACTGCCAAAGCCAGAGGCTCGGAGCCAATTAGAGACAGCGGCACGCGACATGTCGGCTCGAAAGGAGGCGCGGACGCGGCGAGTGGAGCTCATGACAGAGGTACGCGGCGTCCGCAGACCCATCGATGGGGTGATGGCAGCGGCAGCGGTGGTAACGATGGCGGGGACAGAGGAGGAGAGTTCGGAGGGTAGCACTGGTGGTGAGTGCGAGTTAGCAGTGCCTCCCTCGCTCTCATCGTCACCATCTTCGCCCACATCCTCCTCTCCCGCCACCACCACCACCGCCTCCTCCTCCTCCTCTTCGTCCTCCTCCGCCTCCGCCTCGCTTTTGGTCTGCGAGGGAGGCTTTGAGGACTTGTCTGAGGGGATCGGTTGACTGGTCTCGCTGGAAGTAGAGGGTCGACGCTGCGCCACAGCTGTCTCATTGTCATCATCTAGGGTGTAACTGGAGTAGTCCGAGGTTGTGAAGGGTACACACGGAATCATTGTCTGCCTTTGCCTAGCCGGAGTGGCGCATGAAAATCTCTGCTGCGAAAAGGAACCAAGTTCAAAAGTAACCGACTAGCATTGAGTTCAAAATAAAATGCCTTAATGAATAAATTTGCAGCCCATAAATTAACAAATTAAATAGTTTAGACGATTAGGCTTCGACAGACTTCAAATATAGGAATCGACAATGACCTACTTTCACTTCAAAGATGGTGATATGGAGCTCTACTTATGTCAATTTACGTGCCATGAAGTTACCCTCAGATTCCTTTGAATACTTCTGACACAGCACCTGAAGTCTAAAACGTGCTAAGTAGAGTCGCAAGTCCGGATCTATCCATCTAGAATAAATTGCCAACGTTTTCTCTCAAAAAAACGACAATCATAGTGAAAAGGAACGGGAAACAAACCGTGTGCCTCAGATTCATCATGGATTGGCGTTTCCTGCGCAGTCTCTTGACGCTCCACTCGAGCGAAACTTCGGAATTGAGACCCGTAGAGGTGGTAGCAGCAGAGCAAGCCCTTCCACAGCAAGAGCAGGTGCCAGGACACGGCACCTCATCACCAGGCGTGGTGCTTCGCTTCTGAGAGGAGACCGAGGAGAAGGGGGATTGGATCTGTGGGTGCTTGAAAACGTCTCTGGAAGCATTTGCGCTGGTGGCGGTGGTGGGTGTTGGGAAGGCGACGATCGGTTGAAAAGATGATGCAGGGACGTGCTCACTGATCTCACACTGTGAAAGGGGTAATGCGTCCACACTGACCTCTGGGACCGCTACTGGACTGTTCCTGTACAATCACCAATGACATAGCTATAATCAACACAACCTATTAAGTCAGTATACAATTACTTAAAGGGGAAGCGGTGCCATTAATCGATACTGTCACTCCAATTACTAACTACACAATTTTGGTGTCTGTTTACGATCTGAGGTACGCTTCGCAAGATACCCAGCAGGTCTATCACCCATCTTAGCAATTCGTTTCATGGAATCTAATAACTTAAACAGTGGTAAAAAGAGTTCATGAAAGGGAGGACTGATAGAGAAAATGTAAAAGTACCACATACCATGTAAGGCCCATAAAATAGCGACAAAAAGGTCAGGCAAAGTCCTTCAAAGCTAGAAACTAACCTGAAGCAGTCTCTACTAGCATCTTGACCAAAAAGACGTCCATTTTTCACTGGCGGAGGGAGGAAAGGGACAGAAGCAGCTGCGTGTCGGGTGGTCTTTCGTCCCATCGGATTAGTCTCGCATAGACTAGCATCGAGTCCCCCGCCGTCTTGAGCGGAGCGCTTGCACTGCATAAGGAGAGAGGAACATAGGGGGTTTACAGAAGTCGCATCCACCGTTGCCACCCCCTGTTGCAACGTCGATAATGGTGGGGGTTGAAGTGGTGGTGGTTGTTGACGCTGGGTGCCCGAGGAGAGAAAGTCCTCAAGAGCAGCCAGCACTGAGTGCTCAGTGGTGGCTGAGGGAGCTGGATCGTTGAGGGCTAGGCGGCTCATTGGACAGTAAGCCACCTCCTCCAGAAACGTAGTCGGTGCCGCAGAACGGTACTGCTGCTGCAAAAGGATTATGAGGAGTGGCTTTAGTCAATTTCATACCAATGCAGAGGCTGATAGATGTAATTAAAAGACAAAACTTTTGGACTAATAAATTTGTGAAAGTCCTAATCGAAACGCATTGTAGTGAAAGGGCATGATGTAGATTTTGCGTTCAAGTGAATATTCGGAAAAGCTTGATTAGATTTGAACATAATTCAACTGCACTGCTTATACTACTGAGTAAATTTGAGGATGGTTTAATCGTGGGAATCGAAAAACGAGGAAATTAATTACTTTTACGCATTAGTCATATACTAGTAGGCAACAGGAACAATAAAATATTTCTAACTGGGGATTGCGACATGTTTGCGATCGAATTTCAAATCTTTCATTCCAAGGCGATGAGAGATATGATTCCCATCACCATATTGCATGACGGTCAAAGTGCGGTGAAATAACGAGGTTGAGCAAACTATTACTATGCACTCACGGGTGGAAACTGTATGGCATGAGGAACGGTAACTCCGTGAACCCTAGATACACAAAGCGCATATGCTGGCTTACCCTTTCGATTTTGGTTCGCTTATCGATTTTTTCCCGATCTGTCCGATTCTTCCGATCGGCACCCTTTGGTTTGAAGACTTTCACCTGACAAGCCGCTGAGTAGATGTGAAAATTGTCACACTCACGAAAGGAATCCACCTATCGGTCAAAGAAATGAGCAATGAACAGAACTGACAAAGCAGAAATACCAATTTATCAGGCGCGATTTCACATTAAGGTGTGCGCAGATAAACTCTATCGACAAGAATGTTTTCCCGAATTACCAATAAGTAGTTTACGCAGCACAGAAAGTAAGCGAAGAATCACAGTGAAAAGCCATTTTCATAGGTCGTTGAAGGATGATTTGATGACCTACCCTTTGAAACTAGCTTATGAGGGTATCAAGCACTCCTACCCTACCAGACTGTTCAGAGAAAGCTAGTGTATATTAAACATTGTTGGTGCTACTTTATGCGCAGCATCAACCTGGATCACAACCTATTATCCACCTTGGTTTCTCCCCAGGGCTTTCACACGCCTACTCATTTACAAGATTAAAATTACCTATTAGAATGGACTCTCTCAAACTATGAACCATTAATTAACTTTTGGTTATCCTTTACAAAGAGACACCCAGAAGAATGCAAAACAAAACATTTGGATTAAATAGCGGTGATGATAACCAAGAACCGTAGCTTAGCTATTAAAATATCCTACCATGACTAGTATCTCGTATTAACCTCTTGGAATGCAATCGTTCAGAATTCGAACAGCATAAGAACGAAGTGAACAGAGACTCACTTGAATGCGAAAAGGCACACCTTTTTCACCACCGTGCTTCTTAGCGGTGAACTCGGTGCTTACGCAGTGAGCCTTAAAAGAGAGCCTACAGGGGGCAGAAGAGTGCCAGACGCAAACCACGGCATTGAGGTTATCCGGATCGGCGTAGACCTCTTGAAAGTTGAAACAACCATCCACATCTAGGAGACGAGTCAGGTATGAGAACCTGTAAAGACATAACGCAAATAATACTTTTGTTCATACCAAGATCAAGCATCCGCTCGCCCTGGTGATGGGTCTGCCAAAAGGCGAGATGTCTAGCTTCGTTGACTTGGAGACGCTCCTGGTAGAAGCAGATCCTAACGACGCTCTACAGCAGTGAACGAATACTGGAAGTATTATGATAAGAAGGAGCTTACTAATGTTTGTATCTAACTCACCTTGATAAGACACGGTTTCTCGCCATAAGCGTCACTGATTTCGATAGTGTATGGTTGATCCTGATTGAGATAAGTAAGCGAATCTTCAGATAATAGGGTGGCCGGGGATGTTGAGGCCTTTAATTCGATTGTCAGACTGTGGGAAATGTGACAGAACCAAAGTGTACGTCAAAGCCATTAAGTAGAGCTAGTACAATTACGGAATACCACCAAGGATACACAAAAAATTTCTGATATATTCATGCCATTGAAGCCCTGCTACATGAAGCGTCTCACCAAATGCAAAAAAATAATTAAGTTCCACATGGTGTACATGTGACTAAGGCTGTTTCAAACTATTTTGAGGATTAAAATCGAAAACCAACGAACGGTGTTGCGTAGGAGTAGGATATGTCTTCCGATTTACGCTTGCATGCCTGCGCATCGTTTTCCGACTCCAAAATTTGAAGTTCAGATGGAAGAGCCGATAGGGCGTCACTGAAACAAAAAGTTAGCTTCATGAGGCAGCTCGTGAGGCTGTGTATGAGCAACGGAGTAACTCCCCAAAACAACAGTGCATAAAAACGACAAACTTTTCCCATTCCATAAAATGGCAGTCCGTGGGAAGAAATATAGTCAACAGAAACTATGCGAACTGCCACCTTTAGACATCTATGTCCGCAAACATAGGTACACATGAATTTTGGGACTGACAGTTTTGGATGCAATTACCTCATGTTAAACATCGTATCCGAAATATCAGAATTCAGCGATAGTAGTGTTGAATCAATTTCTGACGAAGGCTCTCTGATAAGAAAATCGAAAGTAGACTCAGAGTCCATCGCTAGTGCATTGGCAGGCTAGTAGCACTGCCTCTGTAGCATTGATGTCATTATCTTCATCTATAAATATTTCATAATAAGTGCTTATGCACAGTCCCCAATCTTATGTAAAAAGATGTCCCAAATCACAAAATTCGGGAACTCCAATGGCTGTTTTTGATCAAAGAAGAAGGACGAGATGTAGATGAATTAATTAATAACAGGTACCTGGGCACTACGATAACACAAGACGTTACCACGACCTGCATTTAGGTTTACTAGAGTATTAACATATATAATAAAGTACGCAGACAATTTTTAGTCAGTGACGCTACTAGTAGTAGAAAAATTGTGCTTTGCGCAGGTGGAACTTCAGAGAATTATTTGAAAATCTCCATGTAAACACTCATTTTCCTATATTTTTAATGAACCCTTTTTTCTCTTTAAAAGTAGCACAAGTAAGTTTTTATGCTGAAGTTTTGTGAAAAATCAACCTGTTTTCTAATGATTTTATTATCTTGAACGTAAATTACTACCGAGTTTTGGTGTCATAGGCATTTACAATCACTGAACTTCCCTTTAACTTTGACATTTGAGAGTATTTTGAGCGTTTTAGCTCACCAATCAGCTGACTTTAAACACTTTTGTTCTACTGTCCTATTTAACATGAATTTACTGGGTGTTTACTCTTTAGACTGAATAAATATGAGATAGTCAAATACGGTACACCTATTTCTCGAGAAAGCGAACTGGAATACACACAGTCAGTGGTTCGTCGCATGACTCCTGAAAGTGGTAAAACTGACAACCAGTCTTCAGTGCTCATCAGAATGCCCGCTTGCTACCTTGCCTCAAAATAGCTATGCATGGCTCCATCCACTGGGTGCTAGTTTCCCTAAATTTCAGAAACGTGAGGCGCATCCTTTAGTGACAGCCGCGGTGTGCTAAGCTGTCCACTCGGCCGTTGTGTATTCAGATCTGAGGATCATTGTTTATTCCCACA